AGAAATATCAGAGGTTCAGACTTAGGGCCACCCATCTGACTTGTCAAGGCTTTTTGTTTGTTTGTTTCTGTATTTGTAAATTGGATATAATGAAACCAGTTGCAGTCTTGTTGTTGAATAAGGGAGCATTTTTGAAAGTTCTTAACTAACTTGTTAGTTTTTATTCTTGATTGCTGTCATTTCAAGAGGGCATGGAAGTAGAAGTAGGAGTGAGAAGAAACAAAGTTGGCAACAGTAAATTTTGCACAGTGTACTTCATTTATTCAAGGTGTTGACTTTATACTATAGAGTCAGCACAAACATTTACAAATGAATAAAGATACAAGCAAGTACTAATATAAGGAAGGCTTTTTTGTAAAATAAAGCCTGGCTCATGATAATATTGCAGAGTTGATCTACAAGTGTTATGAAAAGGAAGCTTTATCTAATAATTTTCCATGAAAATTCCATGCATGTGGTCAGTTTTTATTGTTCTAGGGAACAAAATAAGAACCATTATATGTAAGTTACAGGGGGAGGGAGTCTGGTGATAGCTTCAGCTTTTGTTTAGAAAAGCATTTTCTAACAATTGGAACTGTCCAACAATAAAATGGATATCATGGCAAAGTAATGAGTTCCCTGTCAGAACTTGTGTTCAAGTGAAGGCTAGATGTTTATCTGTCAGAAATGTTGAGAAAAAGATTCTTGCATGGAATCAAAGTTGGATTAAATAATTGCTAAAGGCCTTTGCCTTTGGAAGATTGGAGGATTTTGACTCCATTTGAGATCTGTCTTTACACCAATCAACAAATATTTGAGTGCATCCTCTGTTTTACTTGAAAGGTTGAAAGCAAGTGTTTTATGTTGTTGTTTAGTTTTTTTTTTTTTTTTCCTTCCTGTGTGCTGACACAGAGCCTAAGGCTGTGAGTGTTGTCATGGCTTTAATGTCCCCATTTAGAATTTGAGAAGCTTAAGCCAGGTGTTGGTGATATAACAAAAGCTCATCTCCTCTCCTGTTGGAAGGGGTTAGGTGGAGTCCCTGGCACGAAACTAGAGACTCAAATGTAAGAATATGTTGCCAAGAAGTTTGGTTTAGTCTTCATATTTTTGCTGAAGAGCAAGTCTTTCTAGATAATGTTAGACCTCCAAGTTATTATGTTTAAAAAATGTTTTTTGAAAGAATGACCTACCTATTGTGTTGACACATGAGATCTGTGATGCCAGGGCACTCACTGATGGTTTCTTTTGCTTCTCTCCAGCCTGTGTCTGGCTGAGAAATTGTCTGCATGCCTGTGGCTTAGTCAAGTGTTCTTTCTTTCTTTTCCACTGGGGATTGAATCCTGGGACACTGTACCACTGAGCTGCATCCCCAACCCTTTTTACGTTTTATTTTGAGAAGGAGTCTTGTTAAGTTGCACAGGCTGGCCTTAAACTTGTGATCCTATTACCTCAGCCCCCAAGTAGAAGGGATTACAGTTCTGTGCCACTGTGCCCAGTAAGTCTTCTTTCTGCTGAGCACTTTTTTGCTGTTTGCTTTTTGTGTGCTTATTGTGTATTTCCTATTTCTTTCAGAAAGTTATTAAAGTGGCTTTACTGTTGACTTTATTTTTGAGAGAAAATTGAAATTCATTTTGTAGCTGTGTTCTTCATTTGGATTATTCATGTGTTTAAGTTATTTGTGTTGCTATACCATTTCCGGTGACCAATTAAAGTGAGCTTTGGAGAAGGAATTATTGCCTTTATTCTTGCCTGGAAGAGAAAGGCATTCATTCTCCTATGAATTCTTCTTCTTTTTTTGGTACCAGGGATTGAACCAAGGGGTGATTAACCACTGAACCATATCCCCAGCTCTTTTTATTTTTTAATTTTGATATTGGGTCTTGCTGAGTTGCCTCGGTCCTCACTAAGTTGCTGAGGTTGGCTTTGAACTTGTGAAACTCCTGCCTCAG